TAATATGCACAAAATATAACATCAGTTTGAAGAAACTATCCAGATCAAGGTGCAATACTTTTATTGGTTGCAACTCCTCCTTCACAACTTTAATGTCAGAACTTCGCTGACATTTATCACAAACTTGTATCTGTAAGATAAATCAAAATTTGGCAATGTATTACTGCAATTCTTTCAATATAGATATCATATTGTAACCAGGGAGCAAAGGCAGTATAAGATAACTGATGGAAAATATAATTGGAATATTCAAGGATTTTCAAAAGTCAACCGGGACAGTTGACCCTGCGATATTTGCTCTTGTTTTAAAGTCATTAAAGAAAATGACAATTATTAGTAGCCTAATATATGGCATTGGATTGACACTGATGCCAAAAATTTGAAATATTACAAATGTTGAATGTTTGAAAAAAATGAAATGTTTCAAGATTAATTGCTTTAAAAAATTCAATATTATCCCTAAAATGTGCAATTTCCTCTAGCTCTTCAATGTCACTTGCATATCATGGTTTTATATCATACCCAAGCCTTCACATCATCCCATAGCTTTGGCCAAAAATATATCTGTGATATGGCAGTACATGTTTTGGTTGTGCCAGTATGGCCTCCCACGAGACTGTCATGAAATGCATCAAAAATCTCTTTGGCATTTTCTCTTCCTCTGACCACCTCTCTAGCACCATGCTCAATCTGCCCCCCTTTTGTGGCCTTTTCAACAGGTTTGTAGAACATTTTACCATCTCAAAGGAAATAAAGAGGCTTGATGTTATAAGAAAAACAGATTCTTGAGATAAATATGTTTACAGCCATTAATTGTGAAATATATGTATATTTATATATAATTTTAAAATCTAACAAAAACTTGCATAAGAAAATGTTTCATTATCTTCATATTTTCATTTCTTATTCTTTGAAAATGAGACAGCAATCACATTTATATGAGCATTTTACAAAAATTAAAATTATTAGGGGAGTGTCAAGGGCTACCCCTGGTAGAATGACTTGATCATAAGCATCACGCTCCCTTGACAATTGAAATTTATTGACAATAAACAGTGGTGATTTTTCTAAAAGATTAAGGGGAGACTTTGCTGAGCACTGCAGAGACACACATTTGCTCATTATAATTTCTTCTGAAGCTAATATCTTTGCCCCTCCCTAATACTAACAACTATCAAACCTTGAAATATTATATTAAAAACTGACTTAAAATTTTCATGTATCATACCTTTTAAGAAGAACTTTTTACTGGCTCTACGCAAATCCTTTTTTGCATTTGCTGTCGCATCCCTTGGGAAAATATTTTTGTCCAAGTATTCAAACAGACTTTGATATCGGCTTTCATCCATGATTACAAAATATCTAGCAGAACAGTTGATTGTTCAATTAAATTCAAAAATATTAAAACTTTAACAGATACAGATCAATGAAGTCTTTAATGCTTATATTTCTGGTCTGTTCTTGTATTTCGCTAAGAGACAGGCACTGAGAAGCGTTGAGAAAAGTGGGGGGTCTGAAAATATTGAGGGGGGGGCTAAAACCGTATAAAAAGAGGCTTTACTAGTAGATAATTGCTTAATATATGGTATTTTTTGCAAAATGTGGGGGTGGGCTAAAGCCCCACCCCCCCCAGCCACCCTGCTCCACAGTGCCTAAGAGAGAAAGCTTTTTTCTGCCAGTCCAGCTTACATGTTTCATTTGTTTTTTTAACAAGAAGAGTTTCTTTCTGTTAAGAGAAAGAGAATGGATGAAAGAGAAAGAAGACCTCTTCAAATATATTTCCATTGGCAAAATCCTGATAATTTTCTGGCATTCCCAAAGACTGGGGTATAAGTACAAAAGAAGTTCTCAAGTGTGATGTTACAAAATTTATTTAAATTTGACCATAACCTAAAAGAACACTAGAAGAGGCTTACTATGCTAACACATTCAAAAATTTCGGAATATAACAACCATGCATTAAGTGATAACTAATTATATTTCAATTTGCCAATTTAAAGAATTAGTCCATTTTCATAGGATTTATTGGGTGTACAGCAACATTTAGCATATGAAATTACATAAATATTCACAGGCCACGCATATAAAATCAAACTTCCACAGTGCCACACCCACACTTATCTGATTGCAAAGTTTGATTACCTTAGCAAAAAAGGTATCATTATGTGATGAAATCTATTTAGCTTGAATTTACATCTGGTTAGAAACCCCCCTTTGTGAAACTAATTTGGGAGCTAAGCTCTAATTGAAGAATCAGTAAGAAACGAAATAGCTACGAGCAGGAAAGAGATGAGGGGAAGAGGAAGGAACTAGATCATTCTGTTTAGGTAGCCAAACTCACTAGGTCGTTCTGTTAGGTCGCTGAACTCACTAGTTCGTTCTAGAACACACAAAAATTGGCAATTGCATAAGTAAATATACAAATATTGTTGAAAAACACAAAACCTTACCCAAATACAAAAAACGCTTGCTCTGGTCGGAATGTCGGAGTGAAAAGAAAGACAAATCATCAATTGCGACCTACCACGTGCCCGCTAGTAACCTCGTACCGGATATACACAAGGACAATAGCAAGAATGTACTAAGGTACATTTTAATTCAGGGTACAGTATAATTCATGACAACGATTTGACAACATCGTCCAAAAAGCAATGTATATGTATTATCAACATTTTATTTTGGTATTATATGCTTTATAAAGTAAAAAAACGAATCATTGTAAAAGATAATATCCTTCCAGACCTTGTTTTGAAAAATTCCTCCCTCGCTTCAATTCGGCACCAATACTGTTTTGGCCCTTTGTAAAACCACTTAAAAAGGGGGTTTTACAAATGTGAGTTCGTAGGTCGTTCGCAGAAACGTTCACGATAAATACGGCAAAAACTGTTATCCAATTCTCTATACACTTCTTCTAATTCATCAGTTGACGGCAAACGACTAAAAATATCTTACACGGCTAACGGCGACAATGTAACGGCAAACACAATTCTGCAAGCTAGCGACAAGGTACACTGAGTTCAACAAAGCTTACGGCAAGACTGAACCTAACTATAAAGCCACCCCTTATATACCCGAAGAATAATACAATGAATTGGAACCCTGTGTTCTAACACCTTTCTCCCATTGTAACATATTTTATCGGCAAAGAACTCCACCGAAGCCATAATACTATCATAAATATTGTTTTCAACATTTCAACTAAGTCATCTGCAAAAACCTCGAAGCCTGTTCAATTTCATATCTTGTTTCGCTGCTCGAATATCATTGCTTGCATTAAATTTTCTTGTTTCTGAGCGGATTTCTGGAAACGAGATTTTGAGCATGTTACATCGAATTTTATTGAAGATTTGAAGGTCATTGATGCAGTATTGATGTTGTAGTGGTAGCCAGTTTAATGATTTCATTTTCTGTGTCAACTGAGCGTCTGTTCCATAAACGTGATAATCTAATGTAAACCTTGCAGCTCGTCTCTGGACAGCTTCAATTTTGTCAATGTTCTTTTTTGTATGTGGACTCCAACATGCTGATGCGTAATTTAGGTGGGGACGGACAATTGCATTGTATGCTGTAGCTTTAACATCTGGGGGACACATGTACACTTCCCTCACGAAAGTACCCGAACAGTTCGAAGATCGATTGCGCTTTCAGACAAAAACAAAATTAGGCTGGCGAAAAGGACTTTTTAACTTAGTGATAATAATTTCTTGAGAAACCCTTCCAAAAAAACCAGAACACCAAAATGCCGCAAAACTTCTGCGCTTTTTATCTGTTATCATTTTTTGTTAAAATGAGAAGCCTTTGCGCTACAAGCCTTACGCAAATCAACTGATGTCAAATAATGTACAAGTTTCGGCGACATAGGTTTAACAATTTTGTGGCTTTGTTTGAGATATAATTTATGTAATAATTAAAATTTAGCTTATTATCTATAATCACTCCAAGGTAACGTTCAGACGTAGTCTCCTCCAAGCTGTAAAAATTTAATTTAGATATATTTCCATCATCAAATGTAAATTTGGCTGATTCAAAAACTTCGTCAGAAACATCGTTTTCCTGTGAGGCTGATGACTGGAACATTTTGTACACGAAGTTGATCTTTATTTACGAGAAACACAACAAGTGAGATTGTAAGTTTGAGAAATTCTGAGACTGATTTGCTTCTTCCAAGAATGAAAACAGGCAATGGCCAAAAAGTATTTTCATTCTGCGGATCAAAAGTCTGGGATGAACTAGAAAAGGGGGTCAAGCTAGCCCCCTCTCTGTCGACATTTAAACGTAGATTTCTTTTAGATTTTGTATATTTTATGCTAATTTTAATATTGTTAATAATCTTCTTTATTTTTGATTTTAATAAAGTATTATTGTAATTTATTTTTTTCATGGCTCCCTGAAAAACATCCACACTAGGTTGATGGGGCAACCGTGTCTAAAGAACTTAAAATGAAATGAAAATATGAAATGAGAATGTGGGACATTTCTCTTTTTTGTGCAGGGCGAGGTCGAAATGGCCGATCACCAGACTGATTTCCATAATTTCAAGTTAACTTAATTATCTTAGAATACAACAAACAGCTAACTCAAAGCAGTGGCGTACCCAGGGCTGTAGCACTGGGGGGTGTCTGGGGCCCAGCCCCTAGAAATTTTTTGGACCACGCCCTTCAAACACTCGCAAATGCGGGGAAACGCCCTTTTGCAAATTTTCCCCCATTATTAGATTCATGTAAGCTACGGTAAATAGCAAAGCATTTTACAATTGTTATTGACACAAGCATACAGTATACTATCCCCCCCCCCAATGAGTTTTACATCGTTTTTGGACAAATCTCGAGTACCATATTTCAGAAAAGTGGGGGGGGGTCCGGACCCCTCCATCCCCCCCCCCTTGGGTACGCCACTGATTCAAAGGTAAGAAATGTGAAAATTATTACGAGTTATCAAAGTTTTCCAAAATAAAAGATTCCCGTGGTAATAAAATGCCCTCCTACCGAAAATACGGATCTTGAAAACGAGGATGAACGGATGTGGGCCTAAAAAGATTTTTAAAAGTCAGAAAGGCAAAGTGTTGCAATGGTTTTCTTACATCTGAGGGACTCCAGAACGAAAACAAGAGTGCGGTTAGAAAATTTCGACTTATCGGAAAATGTTGAAGTGCTGAGAAAAAGGGCATCAGAAATCACAGGACTGGATGTAAACGAACAACGTATGTTTAGCAGCCGTTATTAGCATGTTCTTGAAAATTTTGCATTAGCTCTCTCGATTTACCTCCTTTTCGCATCTAGATTCTCGGTGGAAAGGGCAATTTTGTTTTGTGGATCTAAATTTGATTAAAATTACACATCATGGTCCGGTGTTGAGCCCATGTAGCTGGACTTCATAGTTTCCTTGGTTGGGGGTACTGGCATAGAATGAAGAAAGAATGAAGAAAGAGCGAGGAAAGGTTGATGGATTTTCTGCTACGTTTTGGCAAGCGTATGACTTATAACCAGCCGTTGTTGGCAAAGAAGGACAATTTATAGTTTTTATTATGTGTTGTACCACATAAAATTTTGGTGTTGGCATTAAGATATAAAACCTTTGGTGCAAGTTCGTAATTAACTCGCCAATATCCAGTTTGATGTTTGCATGGATTCCACCCAGGAACATGATAAGCAAATGCTTGTGGACATAATATTAAAGTTAGACTCTACAATACATAATATCAGAAAGACCTAGAATTCGCCCTTCAGCCCTATAGAATAGTTTACTACGATTGCATCAAGTTTGAAACCCCGAGTTCAGTGGCGGACACTTGGGGGGGGGGGGCAAGGGGGGGCGACCGCCCCCCAATACTTTAGAGGACAATGGTCTTTTGCTCTAAAACAATGGTAAATGTGATGTCATCTTATTAAAACAATAGGCTTGCCCCCCCAATATTTGATCAAGTGTCTGCCCCTGCCTGAGTTCCAGCTTGGATTTGTCCTGTTGTATGCTCCAAAAACGCATAGAACTGATTGTATAACAGGCTTATTGTAACACAAAACAGGCTTGTAGAGATGAAACTTGTTGTTTGATTTCATTCAGCTCCAAAATATAGCATGCTCTACTACTTCAAAATATATATAATATAAGAGTTCCAAACTTAAAACTTTTATACTTTATAAAAGCATAAGATTAGTTGTATGTATTTTTGTTGCTACATACTATGTTGTGATAAAGCCTTTCATCTCAAGCATTTTATCAAGTAATCAATTGTCAATTTCAGATATGGTGTACTGTGGAAGAACATTAGAGGACCAAAGGACAATATCCTCTTATGGTTTAACTGAGGGCGTTACCATATATATTTTTCCAAAAAATTTGAAGACACAGTCTGAATCAAATGGTAAAATCCAAACAAGTATTTTTCACAATTTTTTGGCTTTAGAAAGTAAATTTAATTGATTGTTTATAGTGTGTCATTAGCATAGGCTGCTTTACCATCATTACAAAATACCCTCAGGTTGCTTTGCTCAGGAGTATATAACATCGTGCAGCCATAGATGGCATCCATAACTGTGGAACAAGTACCCAGTCATAACCTTGGGTGGAAAGAGTCACAATTGCCCAAGGGTGCTCTTCTCGCAAGTAATGGCCACTGTGCCACAGAGCTCACAAAACCTTTATTGCAACAAAACCAGATTTTGAAGCCTTCACTTGATAATATAATGAAATCTGAATGCAACAGACACTTGTGGGATGAGAAAAGTGGCCAAATTTAGGGAGATGTCCAAATTTAGGGAGATGTCTAAAAGTGCCTCTACAATTTTTTGTAAAGTGGAAAATAAACATTAAGGCTACAGTGATTTACAACACAATGGGTTTTTTCTATCATAGCTCAAACCTTGTACAATACCTGGGAATTCATACCTTGGGGAATTATCTAGGAGCGCCAGATTTTAGGCTTTTGTTTTTCTTTATCATGCGCTAGACGATGTAATTGCAAATTAATGGTTTCTCTCAAACACCCTTTTCACAGTTACGTTTATAGAAATTCTCACAAAAAGGGACTAACAGGTGGGCAAAATGCTAAACATTCTGCTTTCTCATAATTAAAGTCTTTTATTGCCTTCTAGAGAAAGAAACTGAAGATGTGAAACCAACACAATTAACAGAACTTTTAGAAAAAGCAATGGATAGTCCTCTTTACAAAGCCTCTGTGAGTTTATCTGATGAATTAAGCAAAGAAATAAAGGTTGCAAATCTGTAATTTCTATAAAATAACAAAATTTCTGAATTGAGTCATATAAACAATACAAGAAATTTAACTTCATTAAAATAGGGCATATAATGTTGATTAAATCTTAGGGCTTCTTATAGAAATTTGAAAAGCAAGGTCTTCTGAATTTGCAGACAAGAAATTTTAAAGATGTTTGTGCAACTATCTCAGCTAACCCAAAACAGAGGCAATATTTGGCTATTTTTTTAATTTACAAGAATTCAGTAAAATATATCAGTTTTTTTAATTCATTTGTTAGTTCTCTGGATTAATTGAAAGAGCATTATTTGAAAAGGTAGATGTTCTTCAACATAACTTAATTATGCATCAATGACAATGAATTAATCAAATAAATTTTAGCTTATAATAAAGAGTATGAAGATAAATGGATAATAAAGAATAAGACATGTATACATTTATCTTCTGTTATCTAATAACTGCGATTTTAAAAAGTTTAGTTTGACCTTTTGCGTTAATTTGTTGGTTTTTACTGGGATAAAACATTCAAAGTTTTTTCTACAATTTATGAATAATTGATAAGGATTTACTTGCTTTGGCCAAGGAGCATTCTTGTAGCATTCATAGTGACAATTTTGTTTTAAAAAAACATTAGCATGCCCTTACAGTCCCTTTTGAGCAACATGGCACATCTAATATTATTGACATAGACTTGAAACTGTCAAGATTACTTCATGCAAAACAAACAATTTAGAAAACTTTCGAAAAGTCGAGATGCAAGAACTATAATACAAAATTCACCTTCCTGTATAATTTTGCATGGTGAAATTTTCATGTAATACTTAACGAGATAATCCATGTTCCTTCAAGGTTAAACGTGTTTTGCAAGATCCAGATGCCATTGAACAACTCATTGCTGCAACACCAGCTCTTAAGAAGGATCCTGTTGCACTTTGTAAGTATTAAGTCTAGGTAGTCAAAAACACAGTATAGTTTATCTACCTAATAACATTTAAGTTTATGATTTCATTATCTTCTACAGACTAAGTAGCAACCATATATTTTTTTGCTTTGCAGGTTCTAAAGAGCTTTCAAGTGATATGATTAGAATGATCACTTTCTTTCTTAAAACCTCGAGTTTTTCCTTGGTGAAAGATTCACATTTCCCACTCAATAACACAGCTTGCAATGATCATCAAGTTTTCCGATTGAAATATTTCATCAAATTTATGACTTGATTTAAAATATTTCCCTAATTTTAGCACTGCTACGAGATCCTGAGCTTTTGTTGCAAGTTGCAGAAACAGCAAATGTGGCAAAGTGAGTTGACAAGATATTCGTTTAAAGATTATTTACAGATTCACAGACGATCTTGCCGTTTTCTTAGACTTCCCATGAAAAACAGCCTGAAAGCTTCAAGATTTCTCATCATATACAGCTCTAAACATTTGTATTTTTGTATTTATTTCTACCTAGCATCTGAAGGTAGTTTTTAGGACACTGAGAAGCTTATGCTTATCAAGCAGTGTCCTGGTCTTTCCTCTCGATGTGACCACAACTCCTGATTCCTATGCCTGGAATTACAGAGAGCTGGCGAGAGTTTGCTCATGTCAGGGACTCCAACCACAGACCCTTTGGTCTTTAGTCAGCGTCTCTAACAACTGAGCCATCCTTGCTCTAAACATATCAGGTCATCCTTGCATTTTGAGACATAACAATCTCAAAAATCTTCAAAAAATCTCAAAAATCTTTACAAAATCTGAAAACTATTCACAAGCTTGCATATTGGTAGCTATGTACTAGCTTAATGAATCTAAAGTTGGTTTGAGTTGCCTTTTTGAACATGGGCACTTATTCACACATTAGCACTTATGAAAATCTTTTTGTCCAAGAATTGGCGCTAATTTACATGGTGCTTATGGAAGCTTTTTTCTCTAAGGGTGGGCACTAAATTGGACTGGGTGCGTTTTTGAGTCCTGCGTGCTTGATAAAAGTAGTCATAAATGAGTCAACATATTTGAATTGAAATGATTTTGGAGTTTCTTTACCTTTTAATTTATTAATCGGTAATATTATTTTGTTGACCAGAATTGTTGAGCAGCACCCAGCTTTGGCACAAGCTGCAGGTCACATCATTGCAGCTGTAACCGAAGATGTCATGCCACTACCAATTGATAACTTAAACGATGAGGAAGTTCGTTTGCAAGAATTCGAGAGGGTAGGTATTATGCGTTAAGGTGACACTAACATTAATGTATATACAAGGATGTAAAAAACCCCTCTCAAAGTTCGCATTGTCATGATGATCCACCCCTATCTAATGCGTTTGATCTAATGGCTGTCCATTGCCATTCTATTCTTTTTTTTAATACCGTTCTTATTCAACTCCCTTGGACCTCATGCCCAAAGTATTGCAACTTTCTCTTCTTAATTACATCAACAAATTCTTCAAATGAAAAAGTTCCTTGTGGCATGCTAGCTGTTCTATTTCATGATATCTCTTTAAATGTTTTTGTTATTTTCTGGAAAGTAGCCCTAGAGCATTCGGCATTTGGAAAACCTTTATGAAACTTTTAGCAATGAAATAACTTTTGCAAAGGCTATTTTTCATCATTAACAAAAAGGGGACTCTACTCCCAGGATGAATAAGGAAATAAATCTTATTGTACCACTCTTTTCTTAGAGCGTTCGAGATTTTTTAGAACAATGGGATTTTTAGAGATTTTTGGGGGATTTTTCTAGGCAAAAGCAGGATTTTTGCCTAGGGTGAATGTGATTTTCATTGAGTGATATGCCCCACCCCCAGTTAAAACAACAATCAGCATTCTTTGGGAAGGGGGCAGTGCCCGATTAAGCCCAAATTTGACTTGATGCTGCAGCAGAAAAAAAGACCTATCATTGGGCCCAGTCAGCTTTAGGAAAACTTTTTTCTGTTTTCATCGGAGTAATGGGCCTAATGCTGCAGCAAATATATTCTGCAACCCACCCTAGTACGGTCAAGATTCTCACTTATAAAGTATCTTGAGGTTATTTTGAATTGTGTAAGTTTTGTATTAGATTTTAAATTTTTTGCTCCTTTAGGCAGTTGCTCGGGAGATGAATGCTTTCCGGGATATAAACACTTTACCAAACGAGGCCCAACAAAGGCAGACAGCACAGCAACATCAAATATCAGCTGCGCAGCTTGCTAGGGCCCTTTCGCAAGCTGGGGTTTCTGGGGCTATTTCAGGTAAACATCTAGACATGATTATGACGTAATTTTCTTTGTAAATGCTTCGTACTGGTTGGATTTGATAACAACAAACACTGGATATTCTATTATCAAATTCTCCAAGCTATCATTTGAAAATATTTCGGGCTCTGATGCCAGGGGCGTAGCTACTGGGGGGTGTTACACTCCCAACAGTTCCAAACAGTGGAATAGCTTGGGCAAATACTTCAAATTTGGTCAAATTCTGACATTGGGAAAGTTTTTTAATTCTTGATATAAAACTAAGTGTACATATGTATAATTCAAACTTTGATAATTATATCATTTATATATGACATTAATTGAGATGAAATATATTACATGAACTATTATATGCTTTTCATTGAAATTCTTATTCATAAAATTTTCGGGAAATTTATTGAAAACGGGAAAATTCAAAAAAATGATTTCGACAGCAAATACTTGAGGTATCAATACACTCCTGTCTGATGCGACCTTAAATCTTTTATCACTGAAAGTTCCCAAAGAGCTTCGATTTTTTCCGTTGATTGATCAACCCTTGTTTCTTTTTCTCAGGTCCTCAACCTACCCAACAATCTCAACCTCCACCAGCAGTTTCTTCTCCTCAAGTTGTCCCCCCTCCACAAGCAGTCCCCCCTTCGCAAGCTGCTACCCCCTTGCAGGCGGCCCCCCCTCCACGAGTGGTTTCTCCTGGCCAGACGGCAATCACGGCTGACTTCTTCAGCCAGGCCATTGCATCCGCATTAGCATCTCAAACACCAACGAACCAAGCGACTGCTGGCGACACACAGCACGAAGTGAGTCGAAAACGAAGTACACTCTTTTTTTATAAGAACAATTTCATAAGAACACGAACCTCAAAACTGGTCAAAAGTTAAGAACAAATTAAGAACAAGCTGAGGCTGAGCTTCTGCAAAATGCAATTTTGAACAACGTTTTTTCTCAAAATCGAGGATTTTTAGCGATGTGTGGGTGCTTTTTCGGTGAATATTCAAATTTGTCAGCAAATTAAGGCTGTCTCACTCACTTTGTTGGCAAATGAGTCCTGAACACCTCCTTAGAGCGAAAAAGCTAGCAATAGCACTGTTTACAGCCTCTTAATTTAAGAACAAATTTAGAACAATCCAGCCCTCAGATTTTCGAAAAAATTAAGAACAGTCAGCCTGAACTTAAATTTACTGGTTCTTATAAAAAAAAGAGTGTAACTCTCTCACAACAAAATGATCTTTATTATACGACTCCACTTCTTATGGATCTACTCTTTCCCAATTACTCAAATCGATCAATATTCTCTCGTTTTTAATACTCTGAAGAGTGTCAGGCGAAAAATTAAAGTATGTTTCAAAATGTTGCTTTTTCAAAGCCATTTTTAAATTCTGTACCGCTAAAAAGTGTTATAATTTATTTAAAACCAGGCTTTGGTGATAATTTGGCTGCATATAGAGTCTACTCTTAAAGCTACACACGTCACAACACCTGAATAAGTCTTCATTTTTCGTTTTTTCTCTGTATATTAATGTATATTAAGAGAGGGCCTAACAAAAACTTATTGCACTCTTTTCTAGGCTGCGCTCCAACAGATGCGCGATGTAGGAATCATGGACGATAATCTTAGTTTGCGGGCGTTACGACAAACTGGTGGCAATGTCGAAGCAGCAGTTTCGCTAATTTTCGAAGGCGAAATCGATTGAAAATGTTAATGCTGCAGGCAGGACGCGGCATTTCTATGCTTCAGACAATCCTTCGCGTTGACATTTCGTAGCAGGACCTGGTCCCCAAGTTGACTTGAAACCTCATCTCCTTTATTTAATGTATTAAATATTAACCTTTCTTGTGAATATATGTGTTGGTTTATATTTAAAGAATAAAATGATATGTGAAATATGCTAAATTCAAGAAAGAAAGTGGAAAATCTATTTTTGATATTTTATATTCTGAAAATGCAAATCTTTGCATATAGAAACGGGCCGAGGCATCTTATTCCGTTGGGAATGGACCACGTGTGCTGGTGAAAATGGACCACGTGTGCTGGTGAAAATGGACCACAAACTATGGAAAATGGATTACAAATTATGATGATAATGATGATGATTGATTAGGAGAAACGTTTTGGCAATACTTGTTAAGGCTTTGGGTTTATTTTCATCAATCGGTAAAGAAAAATTTAAAGAGAATAGTTAAGCTCATACTGTCCTTATGAATGGAACAATGGAATGGACCAGGACTACTTGATAGGCCTAGCTTCTAAGTATCCTAAAAAGAAATTTTGGAAGCTTGGTAGTTAAAAATAACAAAGTGATAACAAACGGTAGTTAAAAATAACAAAGTGATAACATAAGCAACAATTTAATCGTTAAAACTTAGTATTGTTTACTGGAACTCAATATAGAGTGAAATAAGGTTTTACCCTACTTTGTACTATTCTTCATCGAATGGATCTATTTTCTCTTCCTGCTGTGAGCCATAAAGCTTTCCCCATGATTTGAGTAGATCTTCCAGTGTACCCCCTGTCTGACAAGTCAGCCTTTGGAAGATCTTCCCAGCTTTCCTGTAGTATAAAATGTTTCATTTGACGAAAAGATGATTTAATTCCCCAATTGCTGCACAGTGTAGTCCCTCGGTATTTTAATAATAGAACATTAAATTCCCAAACGGGAACAAGCCTAAACACGAGGGACAACACAACGAAACTAATTTGTAAAGAGCCTTTCTCAAGAGACGCAAGTTAAGTCATTTTGCAGAAGTAGCTCTCAACAATTATTAATTGTTGTGTATTCCAAGAAAAAGGATACGAATAGAGTTCTCAAGTGTGACGTCACAAAAACCAATTTTAGAATTTCCGAATTTTGACCACATAACATGAAAGGACACCATAAAATAGTCCCATATATGCAAAATCAGTTAAATTTGTCAAAATTGGGTGAGCTATGGCCAATAGAAGATTTGAAGTTTGCTAACGGATTACTGTTATTTTGGCTCCGTTCAAAAAGTTATGAACCAAGACCAAATTACAGAGGCCAAATCTCAGCCAATTCGTGATACCTTTAACTGATTTTGCAGATTTAGAGGTATTATGCTCTTTCAGGTTATGTGAAAAAAATTCAAAAATTCCAAAAAATAGATTTTTGTGACGTTATCACTTGACAACCCTATTACAAATATTTTGGAAACTCCAACCACCACCCCCCCCCCCCCCCAAAAAATGAAATTGTATAAGAAAAGCAGAAATAACATATACATTGTAGACAAATCAGTTTGCTTTGATGGACTCCGAAATATCCGTCAATTTTGTATCAAAGTTCTTCTTAAAACAGAATCGACCAGTTTGAAAATTTCTTTGATATATTGACTTCTAATTACTGCAAACTTTTTGAACTGATTTAAACTTTTTGTGCTACTAAATTGATTTAAATGTTTCGTAATTTGAAATTTAAAAAATTCACGAGATAAAATTCTAACAAAAACCATCTCAGCCAACCAATATGACAAAAGTCGACAGAAACATCATAAATTCTTGCCGAGGGGTAGCGAAAATTCTAAGAATTAATTATGAACTTAAGTTTGTTTTTAATTATGGTTGTTAACCTCAATAAAGGTACCAATGCCTAAATAAAATTCATCTATATTTCGATAGTTTTCAACTTACTTTGAGTCTCCTTGAACGTGGAAAAGTGACATCCTGAGTAAGTCAACCAAGCAATTTCCAGGTTTTAATTTTGCAAACTGAGAAAGAAATAATTGTAGTTGCAATATTTTAGAAACTGAGTTTCTTCTACAAAGTCGAAGTCTACAAAAACAATGAACATTAATTGTAATGATTGCCAATCTCAAAACACAACATTTTGCTAGTGTAAATTTTCTTTGACAAATCCAAGCTCAAAAAATGGCATCCCATTAAAAAAACCATTTCAGTTAACAACAAATTCCTTATGCTAATGTAATATTACTTTTAACAAATCCGTCCTTAATTTTTTAATCTGGCATAACAATTTCTACAAAAAACTACAAATCAAGATTCACACTAGAAGCATGAACTTGATGTTGATTAAAAAAGATAAAACCACATTGTCGATCTCAACACACCTCATTCAACGCCTCCGAAGCAAGTGTGATCCATCTTTCATTTTTATCTTTGCTGTAGCAAGCGATGCTTGATAAAAACAGCCGGACAAACGATGAATGGCTTGAAGGAGAACCGGGCACGGCGTGTTGGATGCATTTTCGCAGCGCAAACTCGGCGAGCAGAGGGAGGCCGAGCTTTTGGCAAATTCCAACGAAAACCTGTTTAAAGAAATAAATACTATTTCAGAAATGGATGAAGATATTAATATCTCCAAATAAATTACTGGGTGGCCTGATAATCTCATTAAGCGTGAAACGCAGAGTTGCAACTTAGAACCGTCCTGTTCCAGACAGCAAAGCCTGCACAGGTAGGTAAAGTGGGGGGGGGGCAAGGGAAAATTTAACAGCCATAGCAAAAAAAATTGTGAAAAGTTCATTGTTTTGCAAAAAAAGTGGGGGGGGGGGCATGGCCCCCTGGCCCCCCTTCGTCGGAGGCCCTGTCACAGCATCGAGCGTATTATCACAGACCTGCAAAATAACTACAATCCATTGCTTCGTAAGAACCGGGTAGTTTTTGTTAAGATAGCATGCTCAATTTTTTTAGATAATTTGAGGCTCGGGTGTTCTAAATCTTGCTTTTATTTCAACATTGATTTTTCTACATTCACTCACTATAAATTGTTTCTAATACCAATAAAAAGCAGTTTTACATAAAATTTTAAATAACACGATTTCCTAGCTGATAAAATATCTTCTACTATGTCAAAACTTTCAAAAAATTGCTTTTTCTACTAATTTTTGCAACTGGAACTGGGTAGGTTTGTTCTTACATTTTTCTTGTTTTTGGCAAACAAGCCTCCGTTTTTTAAAAAGAGTGTTCCTATAAAGGAAAGAGAGTGCATTCTATCTCTTCAATAAACTCTTGCTCTTTTGAAGCCCCTTTACCTGAGAAGGGCCTGAGAAGCTTTACAATTAAGATAATGACGGGTAACATCAGCTGCAGTGGTGGTTTATTAGGGGGCAAAGGGGGGAAGGGGGCTCCCCGTCAGCCAACCAATCGAAAATTTAGCAGCAACAGGACAGGTTATAAAAAAGATGACACTCAATCAAACCAGCGTCGATGCTTCTTTCAACATTTACTCACAACTTTAACAATCAACTCACTACCTTACCTGGTACCTCCAAATCGAATTGCTTTCCGAATCGCACAGCGTCTTTGCAGCCAATAGCAATTCATCTACATTTTCTCCGTTTCTAGATTTCAACAGAATTGCACAGATAACATTCAGATACTGAAGATCGTTCCATATTTTTGGATGTCCTTCGTACTCACTCATCGCGTTTTCCGATAACAACATAGCGATATTGTAAACGCCGTCGTTCAAATATGCCCATACTAGCTGCTTGATGGAATACACCCTGAGGTTGATGGCAATTTTGATTTTAGGCTCAAGTTGGCGTGAAATCGTTGTCTTTAGGGTCTCCTCCAATCCGCCGAGGCTTTCCTCAGCTATAAAGGAAGAAAGGGAGATTATTTAAGATCTATACATGCTTGTAAATACGTTAGAAGCGTACATTACAATTTTATTGAATTTAGAATAGTTGGCTTTGTTTATTTTTTACATTTGAAGTTTATGTTGTTAGCCATGTAAATATCTAATCGAAATAAATAAACAACAACAACAAGTTCCTCTGTGAACAGAGACAAAACTATTAGCGGAATTGACCCCAAGCCCCTTAAAAAGTCAAATACACATCTTTAAGTAGATACTTCCATGAGAGAATTTCCATACCAATAATTTTTCTTTTTCGATTGCACATCACCCTTTTTTCTTTACATAGAATAATTTACCAGTTGCCTCTCGATGAAGAAGCGAGGAGAATGAAAGTAAAACATAAACAGGAAATTCATTTAAAATGATCCTAATTTTAAAGTAATAGTAGAACAAAGGAACAAGCTTGGGTTTGGAGAATCAAAGGTCTGAATTGTTGAATTCATCATATATAGAACATAGAATATCAAAAAGAAGTTTCAAGTAATATATTCCTACATATCACCATAACCCTATTACCTTATTTTATCAACTGAAACGAGGCTGGCTGTTGCATAAATGTGACAACGAGGCCTTAAATAATTGCTAAACACATCTTAGATGCCACAATCCCTGGCCTACTGTTCTGAAAACTAATTAAAATTATTCTCAAAGAAATACGATAATGTTTACCTTTAAGCAAGGAAAGTCTTGCTGTTGAAATTGCCATCGTTCTGGTTGCAACACCGCTAGAACACAAACTTTTTGCCAATGCCGCCGCAGATAGCAGAGCCCAGTTCTCTGGTTGCCCTGGGTTACTGTGAACAGCTTTTTGAGCAGCACGTAAGCAAGCAACATGGGGACTTTGGCTATCTAACTTTGAAGCGAAAGATTTTGAACCAGAGGCTGCAGCAGCAACAACGAGCGATGAAACCTGAAATCAAGGACATTCAGCGATCATTTGATCTTTAAAAAATACAATACACGACGCTGAATAATGCGAGCTTTTTGTTTTGACTTAATAGACGAAAAGCTTGGCTAGATAACATAGGCCTGTACAATCACGTTCTCACGTTTCTGATTGGCCTATTTCAATCTACATATGCCTGCCAGTTGCCTGATAATTACATTAAGCGTGAAATTCGGAGTAGCCACTTAGAACCGTCCTGTTCTATACACTAAATAGCGTGTACAGCTCTGCCTGTACGGCATCGAGCACTTTATGACAGCAATTTTCAATCTATATATGGGTGCTCATATTCCCTAGCTTAGAGTTTTTGATCAATATACAGACAATTCTAAGTCTGAGGAAAGCGATATTGACATAGATTTTGTGGTTGGAATTTTGAATTGTAATTGTAAAACAAGTGATGGAATTTTGGGAGGATCCTCAAGAACAACTCCCCGAAGTATATACACAGAATACACGATTGCCTAGGTTAGAAATGAGGCATTGGGCACCCCCCTCTTAAGACAAATCGCTGGTGAAATCCAGCTTTATAAAAGAAAATTGTACAATCTAGCCTATTTCTTGGACGGGGGACACTGGAGGTGGAACTGAGCAGGTATATATCTAAGCCTTTGACTATTGTCTTAACAAAGATAGGTTGCCGAAACTTGAGAGGAAATTGACCCCTCGTTAGTATATTACAAAGGGTCCTGGAAACGAGAGTCTGTTACACAGGGGAACAAGACTAAAAAAGATTATAAAAAGGTCACGAGGAGCAAGGTCTCGGATGACTTACATTTGATGGTTCGTGAACAGCTGAAATTTCCGCACACCGGCCAGCAATCTTAAAAAGGAAAAACTTTCATCAACTCGATATTTCGTTTTATTAATGATGTATATGCCATCATTATCATTTCATCAATTCAAAGATCTAGCTTTGCAAAACAAAACTTTTGCAAAACAACAGGAGAATTTGGAATTAATCTTTGTGTAAAATATTTTTCATATCAAGAGAAGAGTCCAGACAAATTAGTTTATGTAATCCAAATCACTGATAAGATTTGAGGTTAAAAACATATCCAGTTTGCGTTGGGGAGGGTTTGTGTTTCCGATAAAAATGTCTATGGTGTGAATTACGCTGTCTAAGGTGTGTAAATAAATCAAGATGTATTCAAGGTTCACGAATATACCCAGCATGGAGCAGAAACGATTCAAATATTAGATTTAGGAAGAAATGGAAAATACCTCCATAGACAAAAGAGGTGTCTGCAAAGAGAAAAATTTGGCGAGTTTAGCCCACTGCCGGGAGCTTCCAGGATATCTGCAAAAGAAAGGATATAATGATAGAATAGCTTTAAAAATGTTAAAAAACGAAATCAGAATTAGCAATTGAAATGGAGAAACTGCCGTCCAAAAATAGTGCTTTAAAAACCATACAGAGTGGAGGTCTACTTAGATTGGGTACTCTTGAAGAAACTATAATTAAATCACACGTTCGAGGTGGAAAAGAGAGATTCTATTGAACTTTGCTGAATTCTTTTACATGCGTTGCAGCAATGAAAATTGTCAATAAGGTTTCATAACCTGATTCGATTAACAGCTTTTCAATTAACTTTTTACATATTGCAATTAATTGTATTTGTCAGGGGGAGGCTTGACGGTCGGCCTATACTGATAATCGACCTTACTTAGATAATACCTCCAAAATACACCCTCAAGCGATAAACTGCTACAAAACATATTTTTACTCCTGTACTTTTCTCTATAAACTAAATCACGATATCATTCACCCAGCACGTACGATTACCCCATTCAAGAAAAGTCCTTTACATCGCTTCTCATACCAAAAATCAGCTAATGAAATCATACCTTCGAATAAGTTTCTGAACGCTGCGTTTAGCTTCCGTGAAATTGCCCTTTAGTAAAAGAAAGATGGTTTAGAATCACTATGACATTATGCGATGCGTATTCAGCCAGAAGCCTTTTGCAACTTGCTATATAAACAAAACCAGCTCTACCCCCTTTTTAGATAAACAATATTTGAAAATATTTCGACCTCGCGTAAGTTCTCGAATAAGTCCCAAACTTCCAGTAAAGCCATTTTCTCGAATAAGCCCCCATCCTGAAGTACTTTTTGGTGAAATATGCCCCCATGGGCTGAGATATTCCCTCAACAACAATTGGTATATCCCAATATATTTCCATTTTTAAGCATACTGACCAGACTCGAATAGAAAAAAAAATTACTTCGCTAAAATTTTTGGCTGCGGGTAATCAGCCCCCACTTTCGAATAAGGCCCCATCTCAAAAGATACTTTGTGGAGTAAGCCCCTGGAGGTCCCACGGAAAAGTGAAGTAACATAATATCAAATAAAAGAAGTCAATAGTTTTGGGTGTGGTGAGGCTTTCAGTGCTGCTTTCTGTTGATCAGGACAATCCATTACACAAAGAAATAAATATATACTAAGAGTTAAAGGTGCGGATTTTCAGAAGCAGTTGGGGAAGGACGGTTTCTATAATGAAAACCCTACATAGCAACCCTATAAATTAATCTATCCTTAAAATGACTGTCGATTAGGTCAATTTGAGTTAAAACCCCACTCATTTTTTCAAACATAGCATTTCTAACTTCAGGTGTTTAATTTCAACAAAATTGAATATATATGAATTAAATCTATAAGCAAATAAAATGCTGATACAAACGGCTCTGCAGAAAATCAACATTTTTAATCAACAGTCCTTCCACAGATCATTTGCGGTGTAGGGTAGAATATTTCGAATAAAGTAGGAAGTGCTTTAATGTCAACTTAGGCAGCATTAAAGAAGAACAACATTGAATATTTGTGGCAAAAAATTGTGTGTTACCTGTAAGTGATATAGAGATGATTCCAAAAATGTAAAACTTTCTTGAACATCCTCAGTTTCTAAAGTATAAAAAGATATAGTTCCTGATTTTCATCGGTGAAAAGATCAAGTGAAAATGCCTTAGCCGAAAGGATGCAAGGCAGGGTTTCTTCGCTGTAGATGCAAAGTTTGAGAGCCAAGATCTCAATCAACTGAAAACTGTCTAAACGGCTAGAATAATCTGGAAGATTTCATTAATCTATTTTAAGTTTTCAACTGGGTCTTCTTTAGTATTTCAGAAGTAATAATAATTTTCACATTGTTGCGAAAAGCGAAGCATACTATGCAAAATTCTTGAAGGACATGCGGCAGAATTAAGAATTTCAGAATTTTCTTCAGAATTTCATTTTCTATCAAAAGCCTAATTACAAATAACTTCTGTATGCTTCAAGCAGCTAATGAAGTTACAAACAGAACAAAACGAAGACAACAAAATAATTTACTAAAATACGTGTAAATCTAAGAGTAGAAATTTTTGTAACCCGTTTCAGAAACATATGCATCATGGCAGAAACATAGGGATCTTCGAAGAAAGTTGCAATGAACGAAGATTGTAGGCAGGCTAGAGTGACGCTGCTGATCTGCAGTAAAACATGGAATACAGAATAGCTGCATATTGGACAAAAACAGCAAAATACGGAACAACGAAAACGTATATGTGAGATTTACAAACAGGACAAGAACAGACATATAGAGAGCTCTTGGAAACAAATAACGAAGCAAAACAAAAAACATATAGTAACACATTTAAAATGCTTAGGGCTTGCCACGCTCAATTCATCGCAGATTCATCGTCTGGAAAATAAAAACTGGATAAAAACAAGAAAATTTATTGAAAGTTGGAAAATACCGAAATCAGGATGTTTTCTAATCTCTGCCAAAGCTGCATTGGTTAGCGTCAGATCCTTTGACAAGAGACCCAAGGCAGCCAGCGCAGAAAGCCCTCGTTCACTTGGAGAAGATGTCTGCGCGCTGCAAAGGAAACAAAACCATCATTACAAAAATTACCACACCTTTTTCAAAATATTGTCATGGAAAATAAGAATACACAAATATTTTCTAAAGGACGCTATTAAAAAGAGCAGATACTCACCCACCAAAAATTGAGGCTTTCGAAATTCGAGGTTTAAGAAAACGTTTGTTTTAAAAAATTCGTACGGGAAGCAAGAAAAATATCTGAAACGGAGGTGCTTAAAAATCTATGGATCAGCCACGACAAGTGCAAAGAAAAAATTTAAATGAACAAATGATTGAAAAAATGATAGCAATGAAAAGGTAGAAAAACGGATCAGTAATAATTAGGAAGAATATGAGCAAAACAAGAAACAAACCAATAGGTTAAAAGTCAAAATTTGCATTACCTCTTGAACAAAAATGACTTCGCAATCTCAGAATTCCCTGTTGAATAGCCAATAATTCCTATGGCGGCAAGAATGTCGGATTTGTCCCGTTCACTCTCTGCTAAACCGAGTGCTTGCTCGTAGGCTGTTAAATCATAGAAGAATGCAGTTATATAAAGCATTTTCCAAGAAAGCTAATGTTGAAGAGGCCAATAAGTAATGACAAACCCCCCTTCTTGCAGTACAATTACAAGGGTAATAGTGACAAGGCTCAATGTGCTTAGAGACTTCAAAGACGGGGGATGCCTTGTTTGACTGAATGTGTCCATTTGTATTTCATGCAGACTAGCCACGAGCTTAATTAAGGAGGGAAATGGAACAATGAAAGGTATACAGGAACAAAGCAATACGACGACGAGAATCCAATGTCACGAAATAAATTTTCAAAATAAATTAAATTTAAGAGTATACTAATATTTCGCCCCGGCATACATGGCTTCATTAGAGTAAATGAAACGAACGAGTGAATGGATTTGAAATGTGAGATGGTGGTGCCGGAAGGAAACAATGTCTTCCAAAATTTTAAAGACCGATTCAAATTGCGTTCAAATTTGAAAAAAGGTTAAACTTCCGTTCCTCCATTTCCTTTGCAACATGATAATGGCAAGCAAATATTTGAATTCAGGCGTTATACGAAATTCTTGGTTTGGAAACCTCAGCCGATTTTTTGTTGAAAATCGAAGAAAGGAAAAGAATTAACATGACATATAAAAATCTGTAGTGTTCATTTCAAGATAGTTCTATGGATAGCCTTCTATTGGGCAAATATTGGGCTTCTAAACAAACAATCACATAAACAAATCATCACTGTGTGGAAATTTGGGACTCAAATAGATGGGGGATTATAACTAAGAAAGCAAACAAGCGAAATGAGAAGTAGGGTTTGTTTAGGGTTTATTCATGTTAGATACATTGGTAATGGAATTGACAAAATACAGGCAACAGGAGACTACAAAAACTCACTTTGGAAACTTTGCTCCAGCTGACTATCAAGGAAGTAGGCCAATGCGAGGCCAGTGACGTCATTTGCATTGATCATTGGCTTTATTTGAAGGTAGACTTCAATGGACTGCTTGAATTGGCCAGATCGTCTGGAATCGATTCAGATTAGATCAGTCATAGAAAAGATGTAGAAGGACAAAAATATGCATGCATGTCTCAAATAACAAAATAATAAAAACACAAACAAGAGCTAATTGCACTCAACACTAAGAAGGTTTTGCTCATCAACACTGTCTGCCCAAAGCATTGTTGAGTTGCTTACGGTGTAATGCCTGCGGCAGATTACAGCTCCTTGCAAAGTGAGTTAGTCTCGAAAAAGAATATTTTGCTCCAGGTTTCCTATTAGACAAAATACTATGCAAGTTGAGGCAGGCCATTGAAAAAGCAAGTTAAAATGATGGAGGCCTTCGTAGAAATCAGGACAAATATTTTATAATTAGAAATATTTAATGTTCCTAAGGTGCCTGCTGTGCACAGGGATTAATCCACGACAGTACAGTGCATGTCGACCTATGGTTGGGTCACTTATAGTCGGTTAAGTTGGTAAGCCATTCTCTGTTCCAAGGGCTTTTACGTTTAAATGGAGCTACGCTAGGTTTAGATAGCATGCTTCTGCCTCCTTAAAGAAAGTATATCACTCTATCAACTTTGCAACGGCAATAGCAAGTTATTAACTGATCATGAAACGAATAACATACCGTAAAACTCTGGCCAGATTTGCTAGTACCATGTTCCTTTTGTTGACATCTTCACTCGTTGCAAGTAGTTGATAAGCTCTTAGATACAAATTAAAAGTATCAAAAAGGCAATTTGCATTTTTGTACAGCTAAAGCATAACAAAATTTGTGGAGCGTCGAGCATCTTTCCCTCGCCGAAGAATATATGTGGGGTACCACAATGCTTATCGTCAGTGATTATACTTTTGATATTAAAGTTATTGCGTTAAGTTGACTTGTGTAGAAGTTATCTCTTCCATATGCAAAAAACATAACTATTAAATAAACATAGTCATGTACTTTTTTGTGAATGGGGTTTACTTTTATAAATCAATTAACACAAAAGGAAAAAAGATTTTGTTTTCCCTTTATAACACGCAGGGTGAATGGCATTTTCTGGCCCATTTTTCTTTTATATTTGGGTACAAACTTTGCCAGCTTAACACAATCAACTTCTCAATAGTCAGTGGTATAGTGCTATCTAAATAACAAGGGTGGCTCTTGCACAAAATGTTGCGAAAAACAATAGCAAAAGTAAAAATTGCCAATTTTGGGCATCAACAAGGAGACCAGCCCCCTTGAGCCCCCCTAGCACGACACCCCTGCCAATAGTACACTTTTTGACGCGTGTTAGACTTGACATTTTCCAGAACCTCAGCATAATTCTTTTAGGCCACAAAAATAAAAATTAAGGGATTCAATTTGCGAACTATATTCGTCCATGATGCCATAATACCTTCTGAATGCTGTTTCGGCTTGCTTAAACAGCTGTTGGTGTTCCAGCAGAATACCAAGGAGGTTGTGTGCACAAGAGTTTCCAGGCATGCGATCTGCAGAGACAAAAGCAGAGTGAATTATAAAAAGAGGAACGCCTGGAAAACAGTGTGATGGGAGAGGAAGGGGGAGTTTTATTTTCTACCCGTCCTTGTTACAGATTATAATTTACTGTACAAGAATGGTTTAGTGGTTTGAGATGCGGGATATACAGCCAAGGGTCTGGGATTCCAGTTGCTGCCATGACCAGATTTTCACTTTCAGATACCAGAGATGCTAGCCTACGTCGCAGACAATATTCTGAAAGAGAATATGATCTGCAAAGCACGTTAGTTTATTGCCAGCTCTCTGGAATACACCAATTCGACTTACGGCCTTCTTTGAAAAAAATTCTTCAAATTCTTTTGTACAAAATTTTTGACCTCAGATTCGGATTGAGAGCAATGATTTTAATTTACTTGGAAGTTTTCATAATGGTATTACTCACGAAATTGATTTTATGACGACATAAAGATGAAAATTTTATAAGGGATTTGACCGTGATTGGCAACTAGGGGGGGTAAAGTTTCCCCCCGAAACGATTTTTGCGGTAAAATCCCTAACAAGTTTTCAAACTTCATTTCTCCGTAAAATCTAAAATATAGGCTCAAACAATATGAATGGTGATAAAACCATATCTGAGCTTAAAAAAGTCGTATAATTAAGTTTGGAGAAATTTCTAAAACGAGGTCGTAAGTCGCATTGGTGTATTCCAGGCACAAGAATCTCGAGGTGTGATCACATCGAAAGGAGGGACTATGACACTGCTCGATAAGCATAGTTTCTCAGTGTCCATTCGGGAGCTAGGCCGTAGTGAATACAGAAAAGAGAATTTGCTTTAAGTCATAAATGCTTTTAGAGCAACGGCAAAAGTGCGCAATTTGTCTAGAGGATGACCCTGACTAAGCAACATAAAATCATTACAAAATGTACACAAAATGGACGCTACATGAATTAACATACAAATAATTACTAATTTGTGTCCAGTACTATTACATCCTGATAAAATTCAGATATCTATTTTGTTATTGTGGTGACCCCTAGTGCTGTTCTTCTTTCTTGCTCTTATCGTATGCAGATGTCTTAAGGTATAGCATTTCCAAGCATTTCCTCTTGGTAACAAAGCTACACGGCTTGTTACCAATCGAAATAATATATACCTACTTCTTAAGGTCAGGATACAAAAAAGGGGTTTAGAGGCAACCCATAACATACCCAGAGAAGGAACAGTGCCATTTTTATACGTGAACTTCAAAGCCTCAATATATGAGAGACACCACTGGGTCATGTACGGAACTCGAGACCCAGACCCTTCAACGTTTAGTTGACTACTCTAACCACTGAGCCATCCTCGCACCTTTCCTTTTACAATTTCTAGACATGGATTGTACGCTTTCTGATAAATGTAAACAAACAATGTAAAAAATACCACTGAAGAGCTTTACCTGTATACTTCTGGACACAGACGGCCGAATTCGCGATGGCTTTGCGCACAAAATCAGGCAAGTCGAAAGGGCCAAGTCGTTGCGTAGACCGCTTTTGCTTGGCAAAGTAGTCTTTTAAGGAGAAAATTACCCATTTGGCGTATGCCAGATAGCACTCAGTCTGAAATATGAACACATTTAAATGATTATTTAAAGACTTCCATTTAGAAATTGCTATTAAAAAGGCTTCGTCGTCTGGAGGTTTAAGAGGCCAAATTTTAATAAAGGAACTATTTTGATTAAAAGTTGGATGATGAGAAAAACTGGTGATTTTTTTTAAGGAATCAGAGAGCAAACAAAGTGTGTAAACAATGTTTTATATTGCTGAGATAAGAAAATAAGCAAATTTGAGCAATTTCATAACACCAGGTTTCTATGGATGTAGAAATTCGATAACAATTCTAAGCAGGAATAACTTAACGGTGAAATATTAAAACTTTGGTACAAGCAGCGTGAAATTTCAAGAGATAAAAGATTTTGGATACCAACCCAGTTTCAATATAAGTAACTACTAACACTTTTCCGTTTACTTGATTCAGCCAGTTGTGAAGTTTAATCTTAGTTTACCACAGAACCATTGAACATTAGTACTAAACCGCCGCCTCCTTAGTGGTAGAGTTGCAACGAAAAATAGAACTTGAAAAACTTGAAAGATTTGTCAATCTCACAATGGTAGCAAACTACACAGAACGAGGCTGGTCTTTGGAAAGGTCAACTTACGTGCGATCCCATTTCAGATGAATGGCGAAAAAGATCCATAGCATCAGCATCGCCAATGATTTCCGCAATTGAAGCCTGGGCGGTACAAAATTGAAGTCACAAATACAAAAGCGAGGTTACATTAAACGAGGCTAAAACAACAGAGTGCAGGAGTTGCTGGTCAAGATTCTATTGAAGCATTTGGTGTAGCGAATTGGGAGTTGACTCCAACATAAATGTGAGATTTCACAATATAAAGTTTGAAGTCTTGTACATTACAGAGACTATCGACAATTTTCTGATGAATAAGCAACCCCCGTCTTTGCGTTCACTGGGCATGTGCAATGTACTGCATTAACATTGCGCATGCTCTTCAAATACAAACACGGGGGTTGCAAATTCATTGCAAGAGTTTACTTTGTCCTACCGCCAAGCAGTGTGTTTCCCCTGTCCATGTCCTTTCCCTTTTCCTTCCCCTTGTCCTTCCCCTTGTCCTTCCCCTGTCCTTTCCCAAAAAATAAAACTCACCTGGCCAATCCAAGCAGGTGTATATTCCGGGTCTGCATCCTGGGCTCTTTTGAAAGCTTCGTGGGCCTCCTATATCATAGATATGATGAAATGATAAGAAAAATTCAAAGTTCATATTTCGTCAAACATCACACCAAATGCTAGCATAAAGACTCATTTTTTTAAAAACAATTGAGGATCTTTTCATCCTTCCAACCCCCTCAGAGTATAAACGTCCAACCCCCTCAGGTAAGCAGACATTCATATCCTGGTGTGGATCGAAAGAAGCGTGAGAGGTAGAATAGCGCGTTTGATTGGTTCCTTGTTTGGCCAATCAGCCATTATTTCACCTAGCCAAGAGTCCAAGAGCGAAAAAGAGCTTTTTCTGTCTTCATGAGTCAGGAACTTTTGTTTTGACGAAGACAGATATAAGAAGAACTAAGTGAGATGACTTTGCTTGCCAAATGGTTTTCAAATTCTCGTCAATATATTTGTTACCAAAGAGTGATTAGGTTACCTAAGCGAGATCAGTATGTATCTTCAAATAATGGTATTAAGCAAATAATGCTTCTAAAGATAAGATAGCTTACCTTGATTTTATCATATTTCAGATAAAGAGTACCCAAATTGCACCATATTTCTGCATTCTGTAAAGATAAAGATATAACTAAAAATTATCTTCAGGGAAAATAATTCAAAATTTGCAAAATTATTAGGTTAAAAACAAAGAGTTAACTTGATAATCATCGGTCTCTCAGATTTCAAAAAATATGAGTTGACTTAATAACATGGCTGCAATTACACGAGCCTATTTGAAAAAAAACCACGCTGGCTCGTCGCTATTGAAAAAACTTCGCTTCTTCGATATGTCGAAAAATCAAAAACTTGGACGTCCTGGCATTAGTATAGTGGAAATACATATTCATTTCATTTCATCTTTTAAATATTTTTTCTCTATTTTCTTCGTTATTCTATTTTCTATTTATTTATTTTTTTATATCTAAAAAATAACATTTTTTTCTTCGGATATCTTATGTTTAAATGATTCTTAAAATATGTAATATCTTTCAAAGATGACTAAGATTTCATAAGGAATTGACTAAGATGTAATCAATAAGTATGATGTCTTTGTATATGATTTCTTGATAAGATATCTATTTCTTTGAAAAAGGGATACTAGGTTCACCATGGGTTATTCTAGAAAAGAGTTAAAGAGAGAACCCTGAGCAGCAATCAATTAACAATAACACCATTTGTAGCAAGTAGAAAAATATTTAAGAAGAATAAAGACAAATTAAAATTATTGTTCAGATGAAACCGAAAATTGTAAAATTGTAGACTATAGACAGTTCAGTAGACTGTAATTTTACATTGATCTAATAATAGCTTCAAGGCTGCATATATTAGTCACTGTATTGCTTTTACTGATACAGAAAAAAAGTGAACTGAGAACAGTCAGGGAAGTTCAGCGTCGAGGTTTTCCCATAACATTAAACCATGACAACGGTAGATTGTAAATTCACACCTGAGAGTCCAGTTGCAATGCTTTGATGAAGGCGTGCTGGCTTAACTCGGGGTTGGCAATGTCTAGAGGAAAAAAATCATAATTGTGAAAATTTTCAGCTTGTAACAGGGGTCAGGTAAACAAAAACATGTAAGGGTATAAAATGATGTGACAAATCGAGCAGTGGAATGATAAATGGGGAGGGGGGGGCTTTATAGACTTAATAGAAATGGAGGACTTCTATCTTAAATCATATTGTCGTACATAACTGAAGCAAGGGGGCTTCTCCTTCGAGTTCTATTCCTTTGACTAGGTCCTTCAGTGCAAGACCATTTAATCGTTTCAGCATAGCGGTCAAATCTTTGATTGGCTGAGAGCTCTGTTCGCTACCATGTTCTAAGCCAATCAGCACACAGGATTCTCACAACAAAATCGCTTCGGAGCTAGAATTAGGCCCATTTTCGCCATTTCAGCGTGTTTTTACCACATTGTCTACAAAAAACATTGCACGCCTCTACAGAGCGAATTTCCACCTTATTTTTTGTAGACAATGTTTTTTGTAGACAATGTGGTAAAAACGCGCTGAAATGGCAAAAATGGGCCTAATTCTAGCTCCGAAGCGATTTTGTTGTGAGAATCCTGTTTGCTGATTGGCTTAGAACATGGTAGCGAACAGAGCTCTCAGCCAATCAAAGATTTGACCGCTATGCTAATCGTTTCTGGTTTCTGGAAGAATATAGCAATAGTGTTGATGACTTAGAGAGATTAAATCCTGGAGTTGTCAACTCTAGAGCGTGAATGTTTTCGGGGCTCCAGCTATTTTTGGCAAGGACTGTAGGCAATTTGGGCAGCAAAAAGTCTTGAAAAGATACTGGCTGTCACGGACTTTATAATTACTACACGGCACATGACAATCGATACTTCAAACTGAACACACGAACACAAACGTAGCGTGACTTGCCATAAACCGAGTAACCGCAACATGTGAGAGACGGACCTGAACTGCCAGAGATCACGCCTAACGTGTTCCACATCTTGGCATTTCCTGGTTCAAGGCTGATGGCTTTCTTGATGAACTGGGAAAGAAGATAAGATCGTTAATCCTGTTTGCTGGATTTGTATATGTAGCTTTGTACGATGACTCTGGATGTAATAACGAAGCAACATGACAGAAATTTCAACCAAAGCCTATATTCAAAGCCTACAATCCTGGACAAAAATGGTTGAGACTTTTCAAGGAAAGCTTATATTTTCACTTTCCTTTAAAAAATAACTCCCCCCCCCCCAATTCAATGTTGAATGCATGATTTTGAAGGAGAAGTGATAGAACTACAAATCCAACATTGATTCGGGGGGAAAGGGGGGATTCGAATTTACAGGGGCAAGGTATAGTAGAAAATTACAAAAACTGCATTTTGTCTCAACATTTTTGTCCGGGATTGCAGATCTCCCCAACTCTCATATCTACTATTATGATAATGTATGCATTGTCATATACCACAACTGAAAGGCTGGCCTTCTTCTGTTCATCTGATGGACCTAGCTTTAATTCTTACATAAAGATATAATAACCTATTGCACATAACAAAGAAAAGCCAATATGGCTCTTCCTACAATGTATGCTTAAAGTCTAGAAACATCAACTGCATGTTTGTCATTCCCATTTGCATGCCCCCTTCTCCCTATTCAAACAATATTGGACTAATCCCCATAGAAACACACTATTTGAATGTAATTGTAATTTTGAAACTAGGATGGATTGGATGTCATTCCAACATTGACTTGGGGGGAAAGGGGGCAAAATGGCTATTTCTAGGGGGCAACTCGGCTTTTTTTTAAGGCGTGAATAAAAACAAATCGAGCCTTGGCTAAGTCTGCTTGGATTTCACAGGTACTTTTCACAAGCATTGAAGTAAGTATGTTAAAACGCCTTAGGAGAAGGGTACAGAGACGAGTCCTGAAGAGGAGGCCAAAAAAACATGACGGTTTGTTGACGTCAGGATGGCTCAGCAAATTAAATGGCTCATAGATCATCAGAAAATTATCGTTAGAAAACCAGGCAGGCTACTGAACAAGACTTTTCTTGATGTCACAACACAAAAGCAACTCCCTTTTAACTTCGATGTTTTCATCATTTCATATTTGTTTTCTCTGAATGTTCATGCAGAGGTTTTGAGTTGCTCATTAGTAGAACATGATGATTGCTTTGCATTTTGAAAAGCATGGCGGTTAAGTCAGGCGGACAGGATAGCTTGCGTTGCACCCTAACGATGTTCTAGACGGACATCTTCTCGATGTACATAAAGCAGAAAAATGGATGTTGCGTTGCAAAACTTGTGTTGCATACCAAAGATTTGTTGTTTCTCGTCTCACGAGGTTAACAAATACATCGTCTCGCAACTATTTACTGCGATCTCAAACAAAACATAAAATGATACCTTGACGCTCTGTTGCATGGTCGTTTTGCCAAGTTCGCCATCAAGAAGCTAGGAAAAAATTCAGCTTCACCCAACAAGACACATATATATATATATATTAGGTGGAAGAATCTATTATCTGGCATTGTTGGGGTTTAGGATTTGAGCAGATGGCCTGAATGCTCCTCAACCTTAAGAACAAAATACAAAAGACGTGCAAAAATGGAGCTAAAGACATTGACCTAGGCCTCTTGCCTAAAAACCTAGGCGGCTGACAAACATTGTAAGGGCAACTGGTCTGAAAACAATAGAAAACTTAGTCTTGTTAGTTTGGATCAAGGACAAAATAAAGCTACATGGACATATTTAAAATTTAGGTTGAAAAGGATCTTTTCAATCGTTCCTGGGAAGTTTCTGTGACGCCATAAGATGAGCAATTCAAAAACTTACCATTCCATAATGAAAGCTGCTCAGCGACAAATCATGCCACGCAGCGGCTGAGCTTTCTTCCAATTTGACCACAACTCCATAGCACCTAGAAAAATTCCAGTCTTTGAAAATACAAGGCATAGAGAACACGAGGAGAAAACATAGATCCTTTTATATACTGTAAAAGCTCTATTAAGCCCCAGGGGGGCTTATTTATTTTTCAGTCCTAAAGAGGGAATCCTTTTAAATACCGTAAAAGCTCTATTAAGCCCCAGGGGGGGCTTATTTATTTTTCAGTCCTAAAGAGGGAATCCTTTTAAATACCGTAAAAGCTCTATTAAGCCCCAGGAGGCTTATTTATTTTTTCAGTCCTAAAGATTTATTTTTTCAGTCCTAAAGAGGGAATCCTTTTAAATACCGTAAAAGCTCTATTAAGCCCCAGGAGGCTTATTTATTTTTCAGTCCTAAAGAGGGAATCCTTTAAAATACCGTAAAAGCTCTATTAAGCCCCAGGAGGCTTATTTATTTTTTCAGTCCTAAAGAGGGAATCCTTTTAAATACCGTAAAAGCTCTATTAAGCCCCAGGAGGCTTATTTATTTTTCAGTCCTAAAGAGGGAATCCTTTAAAATACCGTAAAAGCTCTATTAAGCCCCAGGAGGCTTATTTATTTTTTCAGTCCTAAAGAGGGAATCCTTTTAAATACCGTAAAAGCTCTATTAAGCCCCAGGAGGCTTATTTATTTTTTCAGTCCTAAAGAGGGAATCCTTTTAAATACCGTAAAAGCTCTATTAAGCCCCAGGAGGCTTATTTATTTTTTCAGTCCTAAAGAGGGAATCCTTTTAAATACCGTAAAAGCTCTATTAAGCCCCAGGAGGCTTATTTATTTTTCAGTCCTAAAGAGGGAATCCTTTAAAATACCGTAAAAGCTCTATTAAGCCCCAGGGGGCTTATTTATTTTTTCAGTCCTGAAGGGGGACTTAAAAGTGAGGAGGGCTTATTAGAGAGAGGGGGCTTATTAAAAATTTGAAGTAAAAAATGTTTCAAAAATGCCTTTTTCTATTTTTTGTTATAAAAATGTCACACAAATGTTCTCAGAAAACTTCGATAGCAACTTCGAAAGTCTTATTAATCAATTATCAGGTCCTTATCTTCATCAGAACCACGAGGATCAATTGATAACCCTGGAGAATCTTCTAAACAAATTTCGACTGACTTTTTAGGCACACAAGTAAATCTTTACATGGGCCGAATTTAATGCATTCGATCTTATTATCATCACACCCGTTAAGAGACCCACGAAATGCGCATGTTTTTCTAGGTTTTTCTTGTTTGATAACAAAAGCTAAAGAGGGGGGCTTAATAGAGAGTGGGGGCTTATTTTAAGTTTTTGCTTGATAAGGTGGGGCTTAATAGAGAAAGGGGGCTTAACAGAGAGAGGGGGCTTAATAGAGCTTTTACGGTACTCATTAAGGATGAGATTACATCGTTTTCTTCATTTACGGAACAGGGTTACACAGTTATGTCAGATGGCACGAAATATTGAACGTCATGGTTTCATCTGAAACGTCTCAGAGCATTTTGCTTTTGATTTTCAAATAATTTAAGGAGGCTATCCCTTCAGCGAATGCTGGTTTACAAGGGACTCTCCGTCATAGTATAAAAAGCTGTATCTTACCTAAAGGTCAGCCCAAAGTTATTGGAGATATTTCATACTATCTGAAGCGTGGAAACAAAAACATCATGAATCACATGATATATCCTATTCTTTGTGCCATCCGTAATTTTTGTAGTATCGAATAATCACCCTTTTACAACGAATAAACACCATCTTCTTCTTAACATCCCCCTCAAAGCCCCACTGATACAGTTAAAATGTAAAAATTTCCCCTCTCTTAAAAGCCACTCCTTGAAAAGATCCTCTCTTTGGAAAGAGCAGATAACAGAAAATATGGAGGGTACAATAAGTATTGTCACACAATGCCTGTTGTCAGTCTCAAACATTATTCGTATCACATTTTTCTTAAATGAATGTAAAAATTCCCCCTTCTTCTAAACATTATTTTGAAGCATCAAATTAAAAAACGCCCCCCGAATTAATCAGGTTATTGGTTTTTAAGAAAATGTATATTCAGCAGTTCATAAAAATAAAAATTTTCTTACCTACGACTTAAATCCAGGATAAATTTCTTCTTTGAACCAGTTTCCTCTTCTTTTATGCCAATGATTTGCGAAACCGATGGAGGAACTTGGAGACTATGAAAATCATTTTTAAATTATAAGAAAGAAACGAAAACAAATTATGAAAATTTTATTAGCTGGATCGTACTGAACGGAATTCTAGAAACACTTCTTCATTAACTTGGACTGCTTGAAATTTCATCTCATTTAGCATCTCTTTCAAATTTGGCATTTAATCTACCAGGAATGATATTTTCTTAACTCACAAAAACAGTATGCAATATAGAATTAGGTCATTGCGTTTCTATGGTGCAAAGATGTGGAATGCCATTCCCGTTGGAGTAAAGAAATCCCATTCTGTTATTAGTTTTCATAAAAACCTAAAATCATATTTATTTGACAAAAGTTACAAGAATTGATTGTTGCTAGTGACAGCAACTTTAAAATGAATCCAACCAATCTTTTTTTCTTTTTATACAAAGTATGGCTAAAGGGGGTGCTCTCTCCTCGATTAGGTTACCCATTGAGAGAGTTCATCCTTAAGAAATTTCCCTTCATACACTTTCTTTTCCATTTAGTTTCCTTTGTATTTTGTATTTAGTTTCTCTGTAATTTCTTTTTTGTATGTATATGTAGCTTTAATTGACGGTGTGTGTTGTGGAATTTTAAAATATGAAACTGAATTGAACTGAATCTAAGATGGCTCTAGCTGGTGTCAAAACGATTATAACCTAGTAAATTTTGTGTACAGATTGGAATGCTGCTTCTATACTGGTTTTTGTCATATGGATATTTTGGTCTTACCTGGAAGCTCTATAACTTGATTAGTCGGCAATTGAAATATAAATTGGAATACTGCTAACAAGTTGTACTGGTTATCTGTTTTATCTTAGATAATGGAGATTCTTGACGTGTAAAAAGATATATCGGGAAAGAGTCAAATAGAATTTAGTTCTGTGCTCTGGAATTTTTCTCTAGTAGGAGATGTGGCAATGTGCATGTTACAGTATATACATAGATCAATATATAGAGAGTGTTTAAAATGTTTATAAGGTGACCCAAGATTAATGTAAAGTCATATTTTTGGTAGATCTATTTTATACTCTGATGTCAAGAGTAAACAAAAGAGGGTTTGAAATAAACAGGCGGTTGAGACCACTCCAAAAATTTAACGTACAGGGGTTTATCATACAGGGGGTTGGACATTGTTTGAAGAGAAAATATAGTTGAAAACGATCGCGAGAAAATTTTGATTTCGAAGTTTACGTTGAACGATATCATTGATGAAGCAGGTGGATTTGAATTGAGAGTTTTTTCAATCTTTCAAAACAGCGAACGAGATTTTTAGAATAATATGGTTTTAGGAATTTTTTTTTGGGGGGGGGGGATTTGTCACGAAAATAGAAGGATTTAGATTTTCGTAGAGTGATATGCCCCTCCATTTGAATTAGGAGCCGGGGGTCTACAACACCACAAAACGGGGTCTACATGCATTAAAAGTGAATATAAATATCTCTTGCCTTAATTTCTCTTCAGCAACAACACGGAGGGCAAAGCTTGCGTCACCCATAATTTTCCACAAGCAGCGAAGATCTGGTCGAAGCTCGATGGCCCTACAAAAATCAGAGTAACATTCGAATGGAATATGGCTTTCACATTGTGTGTTTAAGTTAAACAAGGATATCCTTCATTTCTTACGGTGCGCGAGGAAAAAGTATACGTGCCACGAAGATTATTCCTAGTTGAACCTAAGCAATTTTTTTGCAAAAACAAACCGTAGAAACTTTTTCCAACCATTTTCAACTGTACCATTTGCAACAACCGTCTGTTGGGAGACTCTTAAAAACAACATTACAGGTCAGTGACGTAACGAAAGCATTTTGGGCCTTAGTAATAAAAATGAAACGTGGTCCCTGTCTACGGACTGTAAGAAGGTCCCTTCCAATGTCGTGAAGCAAGCTAAACAGAAAAACAATATGCAAAAATGATAACTTTTCCAATTTACTAGGAGGAGCTTAGCTTACATGATTTAAAAAAAGTACTTTGAAAATTTCTAAAAACAATGAGAATTTGAACAACGTCGTAAAAAACATGGATATTAAAATATCTTGGGGGGCCATTTCAATCGGGGGCCCGTAGTAATTGAACTGTGGTGCCCTCAAATGCGTTACGTTGCTGTTATAGGTATTTTGCTCCTGAAAACCAAGAATCTTTAATACGAGTAATGCTTTCAAGTCACAAACTGCGCCTGAGCTTTCATTTTATGATGCAAAAACAAAAGGATTATGTAAATAAAACAAGTGTAGGCCTTAGGCCCTTCTTTCGAACTCTGTTGCAACAAGATCTTTAGTCTGCGCGCAGATTCCTCTATAACTTCATCGGCACATCGGATGTGCCAGAATTCACTTTAGATTGGACTTCCCGCCTATTTTAATGAAATGAGACAAAGCTGAAGAATATTTCGAAAAACCAAACCGGAGCCAATCCGTTTGCTGCTAAGAAAGTAAGGAATGGAAGAAACCCACCTTGCCGCTGCGAGTAGCGCCTCCGCAGCATGATCAACCGCTCTGCCATCGAAGTTCTCTGCAATACACGCATACTCTGTCTTGAGATGAGATTCAGCCAAGCCTGCAACAGAAGCGATAGCATATATAGGTACCAAATTTTCTCAGATCAATTAAAGGTTGTGAATAATTCTCCTCAAAGACACTCTTTAAGCAACAAGATCCTGTAAATGAAACTACGATTTCAACTCACCCCTCCAAGCTGGTATGTGATCCTCCTCAACTGCCAAGACCTTCTTGAATTCTTCGATTGCTTCGTCATACACGCAAACAGACTGCTTGATGACGCCCATTCTGCAAAGATACCAATATAGTTCTCAGGTGATGACGTCACAAAATATATTTTTCAAATTTTTGAATTTTGATTCCATTACCTGAAAGAGCATCATGATATACCTTTAAATTTGCAAAATTAATTAAAGGTATTAAAAATTGGCTGAGATTTGGCCACATAAGCACAGGCTTTTTCCCATCAAGCCTCTGTAATTTGGTCTTGGTTCATAACTTTATGAACTGAGCAAAAATCAAAGGAAACTTCAAATCTTTTATTGGCGATATCTTACCCGATTTTCAACACATTTAACTGATTTTTCACATCAAAAATATTTTTTCTTAAAAAATTCTATTTCTGAAAAATAGCTTTTTTGGAACATTGCACTTAAGAACTATATGATGAATGTATTAGCGCCTAATTGTGAAAGCATAACCCTTTTGAATAGCTGAGTAGCTAACTGAAAATTTATCAGATTTGATTTTCATGAGGGGGCTCTCTCAGTTTGGGTCTTCATTTGGATATCGTTCTTCTTCAATGGCCGTTCCTTTGCTTTTTTGGATGATGTATTGATGAAATAGTACTTCAGGCTTTTTTACAACGTATTTTAAGAATTTAAAGACTCATTGCTAACAATGGGCCTTTGCCAGCGGGGCGACGATCCAAACAATGGCAGTAAACTTCTACGGATTAACCAAAATTGATTTCAGACTGTCTAAAAATGCATTATGGGATGCTTGCGTAGCGCAATGGCTCATTGTTAGCAATGAGTCTTTAAATACTCAGAGGCGGGTATGGGCATTTGTTGGAAAGCACGCTTCCAACAGCCATCAGCTGAGTATCAAAGGATTTGGCCTAAAGACGACAGTATCTCCGATGAAATCAAGCTTTGACGGATCTTAATTAGATCAAATGATTAATACATCCTTACTTGTATCTGGAATATAGATTCTCAGGGTCGAGCTGAAATTCAAGCGAAATGAAAACATTCAAGTGAAATTTGCAACATTAAAAGCTATATTTCACAGAAAAAATTCATGAGGTAATAATATCGAGATAAACCAGAAACTACATTTGATTACGCATGTTGCAAGATTGGGATGTGGAAGCTTTGAAAACTAATATTTCAAGCTCTAGCCTTGCATTCAGCAATTTTAGAAAATAGGCTATTTTAAAAAAGCTCCCTCTCATTTAATTACTTATTCAATTATTATTTGTTAACACTGAAAAACTACTTTTAACTGAAATGTGATTAAACACGAGACGAACTAAAAGAAATACTTTATGAGTGCAATGCCAAAGAACGGGATTTCTTAAAGAGTCATACCTCAACAGCCTTCTGAAATGCTTTCAATGCTGGCATATAGCTGCCTCTTGCAATGTAGGCATCACCGAGGCATTCCCACATGTGCCTGCAACAGGAAAGAGCAAATGAAATTGCGTACAAAGAGTGTATGCATCGAGGTCACTGTGCTGTGTCGCAGAACGTAATAATAATGTAATAAGATGCGCTCAGCACAGTGACCTCGATGCTGCAACGAGGCGAAATAGATTGCTGTTTACCGTTGTTTTAGATTTTATCTATCATACCACTGTGTGTATGATTACTAAAGGCAATTCTGCAATCTTGACAAAGTTGTTTAGACACAATGCAATTTTTAGAAATTTTGCATTTTGTAAAGCAGAAGAAGACTGCTCTCCCAAGTAAAAAACAAACAGTCAGTTCAACTTATCACAAGAAGTCACACAAAAAAACTCACCTATCTTCAGGGTCAGATCGCAATGCACTTCGAAAGCTGGAACATAAAACAGCGTTTTATTAGCGTAATTTCCAAATAAAAAGAAAGACGGCAAATTAACTACAATTTATGCATCAAAGCCGCCGGCGGGGCGCGATTGCCAGTAAGTTGGGAACGACCTCCTTTTAACTCGAATAGCAACTTCTACTTTGACATAATTGGTTTTTCTTTCAAATTTTGAGAAACTTGACGGAAGCTTTCATCATTAAAGGGTCAAATCGTGAGATCTGGACACCACTGAGAGCCCTTCGCAACCCTCAGAACCCCAAGTTACTTTTTGGCGTAAGTGTACCCCTTATCGTTCAGTTTTGAAACCCCCTTTAAATTCTCTGCCTTTGCCTCCTGTAAATAAAAAATATTCGCATTTCGAAATAATTTGAGATACGGAAGACATAGACATGTGATATTTAATGTCGGTCCCTAAAATAGGATTGCCTGGAATTTTTTCCCCAAAATTATTAGATGGAGGGCATGTATTGAAAAAAGTGACATTTTAACGTGGAAGATTCATAAACGGGGGGGGTGAGGCTGCATTGGATCAAGGGCGGGTGGCTGCAAGTTAGAAACGCTTCCAAGAAATAACAAGCTGTGGAGTTGTGATGCAGCGGTGGAGTGGTGCTCCATGGCCTATTGGGACGTGACATGCATACATGATATCACTTCCATTGCACGGGGACGTAGTGAATCTAAACAGATTTGTGAGGAGGAAGATGAGAAGAATCTGGCTGTTACATTATAGTAATAATGATTCTTTATCGTAAGTTGGAACTTCTAGTTTTATTCCAAATGGAAGTTCTAGCTCTTTGGTATAGTTAATTGAACTAATTCACACCAATTAATTACACGAAAAAGAAGACTACAATAAAATATAATCTGCTTTATGCAATGTAAACATTATCTACAAATATTTCAATTCGAATTTTGCCCCCTTCAATTTTTAATGTCTTTCCAGAATATACCAGCATAGGAGGTGCTATTTATCAAATCAGACATATAGTTCAAAAGAAGGCTACTTCGAATATTAATAAAACTTCGTTATAGTTGTCGTTGCAAGAATTTATCCCTATTTCAACTAACCCCTTTTGACCAAGGGACCAGCCTTATCGTGTGAAAAATCATGATTTTGAGGAAGATTCTTGGTTCATGATTCTTGGGTCACATCATAAGGAAAAGAAGTTTAAAAAGGTGTATTATCGAGGGAAAGGTTGAGGGGAAGAGAAGAAGAGAAATGCCACTGATATTATGGGCAAGTGACATTGCAAAATTAGTTGGAGGAAGTTTTGCTGATTCAGTTCATCAGGTTGTTGACCGAGAACGATGGCGTGCTCTTTAATGACCACACCTGCGCGTAGAGCGCCAACTGGCTTAAAACAAGGATAAAGAAATTTAACCGTTCTGCCTATTACAAGCACTTTGGGCTTCATAAAAAATGTCACGAGTTGAAAACAATATATTTGATATAACAATTAGAAAGCTTACCACGTGACTGCCTTTTCTGCCTGTCCTCGTTTTGTGAGCAGCAAGCCCAGTCGGAGCCAAGCAATTTTTACCCTTCAAATACAAATAAAAAACATTACAAAAGACAGGGAAGATATAATATATGAAGATGCCGGTGGACCTAGCGAATTTGAATAGGCAACAGTTTTCACTGGATGTCATAATATTAGGAGAGAAATTTTCAACGAGGTACCTTATTAGAGATCCTTGACAATAGGCAATCCATGATTCGCTCATACAGTCGAAAATCTGCTCGACGCGTATGACATAAGGTTAATCAAATTATTATATTGCTAGATTTGCTAGTTCAGCCAAAAAGCAACGAGAAATCAAATTAAGTACATTAAATTTAACAACAATTAAATTATGATGATATAATTATAAAAGAACACTGAAAACATCGAGGCTTTCAAGAAATAACATTTTTCAAGACAGCACATGGAAAAAGATAATTTTAAAGTTTGAATTTTTCATTAAAGTTTCTTCTAAAGTTGCATTTCATGTTAAATCAGCTTGCATTGAAAAGGGAATGGTAGATTCTTAATTTAATTCACGGACAATGAGAGTTATACATATGGAAACTAGAGGGAAAAGCAATGAACAAGGAGACGTACAAAATTATTGCATTGAAAACATGGTCCTACCTGCCAGCAGCAAAATTCCTGGTAACTTGCTCGTAGACTTTGACAGCAGTTTCCTGAAAAAAGGTAAAACTTTAGATTCTACCACATGTACAGTGACGCAAAAACGCGAAGGAAATGAGGGGAGGGAAGCCTTATCGTTTTTCTTGAGTTTTCAACTTAACGAAAAATCGGAGGATAGCTTAATCATGATCTTCACGGCCTTCACTTCTCAACTCTTTCGGTTAACGCAGATGAAAAGTGACTTTCAAAAAGGCAGAAATTTTACAACATACAAAAAACTATTCGTCTGACACTCCTCGGAGCATAAAACGTCAGATGGAAAATATATAACCAATTGTGGATCGAAAAAGGCCAATCAGAAAAACGCGAGCACATGACCGGTATAGTTGTCCAATCAGTGCCGCGTGCCTAAAGAAAAATTACCACTGGAGTCCAAGAGAGAAAACGAACTCCCTCTGTCTACACAATGGCGGCTTTTTCGTTTGTATGTAGGTCGACTCCAAAACTGCTAGACGAAAAGACGATCGGGCTCTGCCAATTATCTGAAAAATGTCGTCATCATACGATTTGACATCTAAAATCTTGGTCATCTAAAAGATGCTGGCAAAAAGTACCGCTAAAAATTGTTCACAAACACAAAAGTAGGTAAGGGTCTAGTGGCCATCGTTTGGTAATAACAAAGAAACAATCAAATGCACAACGTTTTCATTCAATTCATTTTTTATCTGTATCTCAATTTGAAATTCTGTTCACTTTTTGGCGACCTTCCAAAGCTACATACGTTGAAATGAACAGCAACGTTGACTATGATACGTGGTACCTGTGCCTTCATAAATTACCGTAAATCCTCGAATTGCCC